GAAAGAACAAAGATTGAAGCAGTTATGCGATAAAATACATAAACTTAACTTTGTTTCAGTTACTGTAGCTAAGTTTGTTAAATGTTCAGTGTTCTACCCGGCGTAATGTCAAGTTTATAGGCTCGTAGCCATTATGTGATGAACACAGTATTCGATAAAAGGTTTTTCATGTTCTATACACTTAACTATATTCTTCGTGCCTTCCTTTCACAGGGCTCCTCTGCTGCGCAATATTTTTTCAGACCTGAATTTTGCACCAGTAAATTAGATTATATCTACTGTTGTCTTGATCGAAGCCCTTGCTTACATACAATGACAATTACCTGTTCATCACCATGCTCTTTTCCAGACACTCAGGGTATTTCCTTTCTTTCGTTCGCCCTTTGCGCTTTCTTTTGTTGAGGTAAAATTATTCATATCGTTTCGTATGAAACAACGTCATGAAGTGAAATTTTACTATGACAATGATGGAAATAAGATATTTAAGCGGTCGGAGTATTGTGAAACTCCTATTGTTCGTTTAAAAGCAGAACCTTAAAAAAGGGTTGAGCATGCCGATTCTACAACAGCATTTTCTTTCATATGTCATTCGCCGGGTCGATTTCATTTATTCTACTCGCTCATTGTGGTCGGCTTGATGTATCACGCTTTTCCCTTAAATTGGGGTGTTGTCGGTGCTCATTTAGTTGCTACATTGCGATCCCTAATCGCTTTCACTGTAATTTACTCCTGTACAGAATCGCATCAAAACTTTGACCTTTCCAAAGCAGCATCGCATAGCCGAAAGGGGCCCAAAAATGGCTGGCTAACGGCGATATCTTCTGTGCAGTTTCCATAAATACTGCCGAATAATTGCAGGTCGCTGTTCCTTCTCTCCGCCATGGCCGGTCCCAAGCCCGGATGAGAAAGGAGGAGGGTTGGAGACCGTGGCAACTTTCCGTAAAATTCAGCCACCTGCCACTCATGGTATTGACGCCAGCGAAAATTATACCGGCTCGGTCGTCGCCCGGGATACCAAAGGCCGCGCAGGCTGTTGGGGGACCGAGGCAGACTGCGAAAAGTCGGCGACCAGAACCTGCTCATTGCCCTCTGCCAGCCGGGGCGTGGCAGCACAACGACGGCTGACGAAGACCGACGCA